GGGGAGGGACCAAGGCAACTTGTAGGTGTGATGATGCCACGCTAAACTTGCCAAAAAAATGACACACCTCTGGAGGATGAATATAAACAAATCAGAAATTGTGACTAGGCGTGAATGAGACAAGAGGGTATGGAGCAGATAGAGCCATGAAAAAAAGATGAGTATTAGTGCAACTGTTTCGGCAGAAATTTGACCAAGGGATCGACTTCATCTATCTCTTTGTCGGGTTGTAGCTTGGTGCTGAGAATGACAAGACCCACCCACGATGTCGATTATGATACCGGCGAAACGCCTGAGAATTCACCAAGTTCATGAATTATGATATCTACCATAGCGGAAACTTCGGACAAGGCGTGCTCAACTAGAACGCCTTGACAACGCGAAAACAAGGTTGGATCACATCCAAAGGAGATTACGATCAAAATGGCGAACACAATTTCTTGGTATTCATATCTACGTTTATAATCCGACAATCGAAATTTCAACTAGAAGTATAAAGTTATTGCTCATCACTTCTTGCAGTCGGCTTCATGATAAATTCAATTATATGACGTAGCGGATGGAATTATCAGGGGAGAACACCCCACTTTTAGAGAACAATTAACCGCAACTACAACTAAGGAATGAGTGGGTGTAATGTGATAAAAGAGACGGAGAGAGTGTAATGAATGGCTTGAAAAATAGTAAGATTGAAAGCTAGGAGAATTACTTCATATTTAAAGTAAGGCAATAAAATTAAGATCGTGAGTTTCGCTTGATCGTAAGAGATTTATGAAAAGTTTAGGTTTCCTAGTATGCATAAATAATTATACTAAAATTTGCTTCACCATCTTTTTACCCATTTGATACTGCCAGGCTCTGGGAGCAAGTTACTTTTAATTTGAAATCTGGTCAGATAGACGCCGCCACCGATGCCAAATGCCATCTAGAGCAGCGTCAACGCGAAGAGGCTCGCCTTCGACGGGAGGCTAAGCAGCGTTGGGAGCCGGTTCATTTTCAAGATCAGGCATACAACTGGGTTTATCGGTGGCCATTGGTTCATCGAATAGCTCAATTAAACGGATCTTCTCGGGATGACTCATCATTTCATCATCAACCCCAACAGCAGTCCAGCAGAATGCGTCGCCCCTCAGCTGTCTCAATTTCTTCCATTGTTCCAAAGTCATCTGGGAGTACAGGGATTTCGAACAATGCTAGCGCTGCGGAGCTCCGGCCAATTGTGCTACAATCACGATTAGACTCTGAGACTCATATCGAATCAGACCACTACGATTCCGGGAAGCAAGAAACTCTAGATTCAGATGGAAAAACTCCTACATACTCGAACATTTCCTCTACTGGTTTCTCCCCATTCGCCATTCTTAGTCCTGAGGTTAACTCAGAACTACCACAGACTTCTAGCTGTCCATACAATACCAATACATTGAATGGCAAATCGGACAAGGCACCTCAGTCATCTCTTAGCTCAATTGAAAAACCCGACATGCAGGCGATTGAAGAAGTACAAGCAGCCAGGGTTGAATATCCCCGGTCAGCATCATCGAATTATTTAGCCGCGCCTCTCCTCAATATTGAAACTAATGCGACTACATTGGCAAACCCCGTACGGCAGCCTAGTGAAATGATAAGTCAAACGCCCTTTTATGGGTTCCCCGAATAACTTCATGTTCTTATTCATTTAAATTTGTATGATATACAAAATCTCTTGTTACCTTCATGCCAGCCCTTTATATATTTGACTACCTCTTTTTTCTCCTATTGCCTTCATATTGAGCATGCTATCCTCGGTGCATTTCGTAAATTCCAACTCTTCAGATGCTAGTGTACTCTATTGAGTCCACACCAAACTCGCATTATATCTTACAGGTATCCTGTGAAACGCTCTGGTTATACCTCGCTTTCTATCACGCTTTACACCTCTGGCTATTTTCATTTTCACAGCCAATTTTTTATCTTTAAATTTATTGAC